CCCGGACCCTATTACTCCAGTCATACCTGCGACTACATCATCTGCAACGATACTGCCAGCAACTGCTCCTGCAGACATCAACATGTCTTCTGATGACGACTCTACTGACTATGTCGACATTGAAACAAACTCGCCACACCCAGCCCAACCAGCTTATGATTCTCCAGCAATAAGACAACTGTATCAGCAACGTAGCAACACCACGCATGGATCTCCTGCATTTCGACGGCTCACCAGCCGTATATTCAACTCGATGTATGAGGAACACTTACGGCGTGCGCCAGGAACGGAGTGCGTGCTTGAAAACGAACTAATCTTCACGGAATGTGACGAATACACACTGTCAGCCGACCTCTTCCCCAGCGACTACGTCAAGTATAAAGCCAAACAACAAGCAAAGAAAAGGAAAAAGAAGACATAGCATGAGGATGCAGACCTAAGACTCACTGAGGGCAGCTGCCCTCTCCCCCCTCTTTAGGGGGATGGGGACCTAATTTTGCTCGTTTTGAGGTGGTGGAATCCCTGCAAGCTTCGGCGCAGACCAACGAGGAAGACAGAAGACAAAAGACGGAAGCTACAAAGAAGAAAGAAGACTTCAGCTTCAAAGAAGAAAGAAGACTCCACACATCAAGAGGAAAGAAGACCTCACATCGCCGCCCCTTCCTCGGACCCTGCCTCCTAGCCTAATCCAGCCTGGTGTCCAGGAAGCATCATTTTACGCCGTGCAGCTGGGTCTAGCCCTGGCTCTGTCTCTCCAACTCCGACGTTTCCTCTCACCCAGGCTATTCTTCAGCTATACCCACTTCAAAGCTCATCCCAGTGGGTACCTTGTCCTATATTTAGTTCGCTCGTTCGAGCCAGGCGCCAACGGCCGCCCTCTCGAAGCCTTAGTGAAGCGGTTGGGAGCCGTGACGTCACGCGACCATCCAGAGTCATGTGACGAGGGGAAGATTTGTGATTTTACGAGGCATTTCGGTCTTTGGCGCGCTGCGCTGGGATAGGTGGATTCAAGACGGAGAGGGGACCAGCCTCCCCTGTCCTGGCTTGACAGGTATGACCTAGTGTGACACAGGTATGACCTAGTGTGACACAGGTATGAAGTAGTGTGACACAGGTATGACCTAGTGTGACCCAGGTATGACCTAGTGTGACCCAGGTATGACCTAGTGTGACACAGGTATGACCTAGTGTGACACAGGTATGACCTAGTGTGACACAGGTATGACCTAGTGTGACACAGGTATGACCTAGTGTGACACAGGTATGACCTAGTGTGACACAGGTATGACCTAGTGTGACACAGGTATGACCTAGTGTGACACAGGTATGAACTAGTGTGACACAGGTATGACCTAACATGACACAGGTATGACCTAGTGTGACACAGACCTAGTGTGTAGTGTGACCTAGTGTGACACAGGTATGACACAGGTATGACCTAGTGTAACACAGGAATGACCTAGTGTGACCCAGGTATGACCTAGTGTGACCCAGGTATGACCTAGTGTGACCCAGGTATGACCTAGTGTGACACAGGTATGACCTAGTGTGACCCAGGTATGACCTAGTGTGACACAGGTATGACCTAGTGTGACACAGGTATGACCTAGTGTGACCTAGTGTGACACAGGTACACAGGTATGACCTAGTGTGACACAGGTATGACCTAGTGTGACACAGGTATGACCTAGTGTGACACAGGTATGACCTAGTGTGACACAGGTATGACCTAGTGTGACACAGGTATGACCTAGTGTGACCCAGGTATGACCTAGTGTGACACAGGTATGACCTAGTGTGACACAGGTATGACCTAGTGTGACACAGGTATGACCTAGTGTGACACAGGTATGACCTAGTGTGACACAGGTATGACCCAGGTATGACCTAGTGACACAGGTATGACCTAGTGTATGACCCAGGTATGACCTAGTGTGACACAGGTATGACCAGGTATGACCTAGCGTGACACAGGTAGACCTAGTGTGACACAGGTATGACCTAGTGTGTGTATGACCTAGTGTGACACAGGTATGACCTAGTGTGACCTAGTGTGACCCAGGTATGACCTAGTGTGACACAGGTATGACCTAGTGTGACACAGGTATGACCTAGTGTGACACAGGTATGACCTAGTGTGACACAGGTATGACCTAGTGTGACCCAGGTATGACCTAGTGTGACACAGGTATAACCTTGAAACTGCTGATAATATATAATTGCTGATATATATGCAATGTTTGTTAAAAAAATTATATTTATTGTTGTGATTCATGTATACTTATGACAATAAAAGCTGAAATATATATAAAATACAATGATAAAATATTAGTTTTTGAAGATATATATATGTTATCAATGCCATTATCATTCAACATATCAATTATCATTCAATATTTCTGCAGTATGTTTGTCCAATTAATATCCCACCAATTAAAATTGTAAGCCATGTTATTCCAATTGTCTAAAAAATAGAAATAAATTTATTTCATTTGTGCATGGCAATTTATTCCAGCCAGAATTACAACGCCTTGTATACAGTTTATTGTAAATAAAACATATTATTCCTACAGTATTGACAATGCTAATATCACTAATAACATTAATAACAGTAGTAAAGACAAAAATAATAATAATAATATAATTTCTGGTAAAAAGGTAGATTTATGCTGTCTCTGGCCACACGTGTTATGAAATGCTCATAATATATAGTCTGGAGGGTCGTAGTGAACACCATTATTATAGTGGTGGCTGAGACAAGAATCATTTCATGAACGCTGTTAAACAGTAACTGTTAACTTAACTCGGGATTAATAGTATATATTTGTTAATAAGTCGTATTTAATATATATATATATATATATATATATATATATATATATATATATATATATATATATATATATATATATATATATATATTATATATATATATATAGAAATTACAGTCACCTGGTATAATGCTACACTAATTACAGTCACCTGGTATAATACTACACTAATTACAGTCACCTGGTACAATACCACACTAATTACAGTCAACTGGTGTAATACTACACTAATTACAGTCAACTGGTATAAGGCTACACTAATTACAGTCACCTGGTATAATACTACACTAATTACAGTCACCTGGTATAAGGCTACACTAATTACAGTCACCTGGTATAAGGCTACACTAATTACAGTCACCTGGTATAAGGCTACACTAATTACAGTCACCTGGTATAAGGCCACACTAATTACAGTCACCTGGTACAATACCACGCTAATTACAGTCAACTGGTGTAATACTACACTAATTACAGTCAACTGGTATAAGGCTACACTAATTACAGTCAACTGGTATAAGGCTACACTAATTACAGTCACCTGGTATAAGGCTACACTAATTACAGTCACATGATATAACTCTACACTAATTACAGTCACCTGGTATAAGGCTACACTAATTACAGTCACCTGGTATAAGGCTACACTAATTACAGTCACCTGGTATAAGGCTACACTAATTACAGTCACCTGGTATAAGGCTACACTAATTACAGTCACCTGGTATAAGGCTACACTAATTACAGTCAACTGGTCAGTAACAGTCAACATTATACAATAACCCTCAACACTACATGACGTAATATTTAACCCTAAAAGTAATGTTGAAATATGTATTGAAAATTATGTATAGTATACACTGGATTATCAAATTCATTAGCCTCATAAACTATCTAATTGCTTAACCATACAGCTATAATGATGGGGGAAGGGAAGGGAAGTATGAGGGGGAAAGCGCCAATACATTACAACTATATAGCACTAGGAAGGGGTCAGGATATGGATTTGGGATGGGACGGGTGGAGGGATTGGTGCCCGACCACTTGGACAGTCGGGGATTGATCGCCGACCTGCATGGCGCGAGACCTTCATTCTACCGTCCAGCCCAAGTGGTTGGGTGGTGATGGAGGAACCTTTTGCTAAAAGTAGCACTTCACGTGGTAGTTCCTTCTACTTGAAGTGGCACTTCAAGAGGTAGTCCCTTCCACTTAGTGGCACTTCAAGAAGTAGACCCTTCCACTTAGTGGCACTTCAAGAGGCAGTCCCTTCCACTTAGTGGCACTTCAAGAGGTAGTCCCTTCCACTTAGTGGCACTTCAAGAGGTAGACCCTTCCACTTAGTCGCACTTCAAGAGGTAGACCCTTCCACTTAGTGGCACTTCAAGAGGCAGACCCTTCCACTTAGTGGCACTTCAAGAGGTAGTCCCTTCCACTTAGTGGCACTTCAAGAGGTAGACCCTTCCACTTAGTGGCACTTCAAGAGGCAGTCCCTTCCACTTAGTGGCACTTCAAGAGGTTGTCCCTTCCACTTAGTGGCACTTCAAGAGGTAGACCCTTCCACTTAGTGGCACTTCAAGAGGTAGACCCTTCCACTTAGTGGCACTTCAAGAGGTAGACCCTTCCACTTAGTGGCACTTCAAGAGGTAGACCCTTCCACTTAGTGGCACTTCAAGAGGTAGACCCTTCCACTTAGTGGCACTTCAAGAGGAAGACCCTTCCACTTAGTGGCACTTCAAGAGGTTGTCACTTTGCACAAGCATTCCGTTGGTGGTCAAACTATGCCTGCAACTTCAGTAATATAATGATCCGTATGAGTGGTGCTGCTGGGGACCACACAGATGCTCTACACAGTTCCAGTAATGTTGTCGTGAGTCATTATTCGTTTTTATTACTTAAATCCCCATAACAGTGAGTTATTAATGTAATTCGGACACAGCGTCTTTTGAACCACAGAAGTAGCTGCGCTGTGCTACGTGTAAGGAACCAATGCATGATTATATAGTTGTATTGAGACATTAACAAGACGGACAAATAGCATACACGGCTCTCAGATGATGAAATATAGTTGTATTATGCACGAGACATAATAAAATGACGCCAAATTGAGAGCATGTCAGTGTAAAGTGAGTCCACTTAGTTAAGATTGGAATTGGGATAAATAAACAAGTCTTTTATTTACTGTTTTGTGACTCAAATGGCAGAGAGGTGACAAGGTTGTAAAGCTTCACATAACTGCTGTCAAACCTTATTTTACAAATTTATTCACTTCACTAATTACATTATTTAATTGAATGAATTAATTTATGAGATATAGAGTTCACATGACGGCATTAAAACCTATTATTTACGTACTAACTTCAGTTTTAAAGTAAACACTCAGTCCACACAGTATATTATGAAGATTATTCACGCTACATCTCAGCTCGTAAATCTGTTTACATGTATTTTAACATAACCTGTTTACAATAACATAACCTGTTTACAAGTGAATAAAACCTAAATCTACGATCACCCCACGAACCTTACGATATGTTGACTCCGGGAAGGAAGGAAGGATAGGCATGCAGGAAACAGATGGGCAGGGAAGAGGTGGGAAAGGAAGAGGTAGGCTGGGGAGGGAGGGCATGGGAGAGTTGGGCAGAGAAGAATTGCGTGAGGTGGGCATGGGGAAGATAAAGCAACGCCTCATGGTCATAGAATGTACAACAGACCTCAGCATCTCCGCGTTCGAAATCTGAATACCATTAAAGTGTTATTGAAACGAGGAAGGTCAGCAAGCGTCCGCAGCTTCACCGTTTCGTACATATCGAGCTTCAGTCCTCGGACCCCCATTTTCCTTGTTATATAGTGGTTGGAGCGGCAGTTAAGGCAGGACTGCCCCTGGGTCGCCCACGACATTACCACCCCTGCAATAGATGTCATAATTGTTCATGAGAAACGATTTAACAGATTACAAGAGAAAGAAAGTGAGTCTAGAGCGTGGGAGGGCGACTCACCCACGCAGGCGTGCTTGACCAGGTTGTCCAGGAAGTTCTTCTCGCCGGACTCTGGGATGTGTTCTCCCACCTCCAGGCTCATCACCCAGTCGAAGGGACCCCCGAGGGTCGCGGGGCTGGAGAGGTCCGCTGACGCTATCCTCCCGTTGGTGAACTCATCGATGTTCGCCGCTCCGTCCCATCCTAGAACGGAACAGGAAAGATTTTAAAGTGAGTTTAACCCTCTTCTTTCAACTCATACGGCTCATTTTGTAAGCTATGATCCCCAACGTACAAAAAAAAGAGTACTATGAAAAGTAGCGGCAGACAAATCAGGAGAATGAGGTGCTCTAAGTCGCCACCTGGCGACTACATGGAGAACTTACTGGAGAACCAGCTGAGTCTACATCTATTTATGTTGTAAATAAGATCAATCTTATTTTCTTTCAGTGTGATTTAATGGTAAATTCTTCAGTTAATTTGAGTCTTGCTATTCCCATATTTCTGTGACTAGGCCCAGGATTCATCAAGCATTTTTGCAATCATTTACGAAACCTGTATATCTTTCCCCAATCATGGCTGCTTTGTTTAAATTTACTAAACAGTGTATTAGCTCCGAAGCACTACGAGGTTGTTTGTAACAATAATAACCTTGGTTTGTGAAGTTTCCACGCTCATAAACTGCTCAATGTAAACAAAGTCGCAATGGTTGGGGAAAGATGTACAAGTTTCGTAAGTGTTTTCGTAAAAAATTGACAAATCCTGGCTCATATTTATTATATACTTGACCAGAGATTATTAAAACAGAGATGCTGATAATGAACAAAAATACCTTGAATGTCGCAGAATCAATAGTTTGTAAGTATAATTGGCTACTATGCGCTACTCTAACTTGCTATTATGCACTACTTTGCGCAGCTCTGACTTCCTTCTCGCCGTCTAATAACAGTCCTCTTCCGACCTCAAAGATTCATTTTTCCCCCACCTAGAAAGATCGCAGGCGGCCCAAGTTGTAATTTAAGATAAAAAAGAACGAGCCTTATATACAATCTTGCGTAATATTTCGCTGTAAGGGCTAATTTGTGACAGATTGCGAAACAAAATGGCGTCCGGACGGACGGCGACACATACGGGACTTACTGGAGTGCGACGACACATGCCTCAAGCTCACACAACGAGAATTGTGAGTGGTGATGGCTCAGGTACTCAGCCAATCAGCGACGAGATTACTGTGACATCATCGGCGAGCACCGAGCTGGACCCAGGTAGCGAAGATTTATTCACTGTTCAGTCAGACTCAAGGCAGGGAGGTTGTGACCTTGGCGTTCTCGCTGAAATCCAACAGATTGGAATCATAGGTGTCGAGTTGAGCTCAGAGGATAGGCAACAAGACTCCGACCACACCTGAGACGCCTAGTGGGCCTTTTGGAGGAAGGTCGAAGGGACAGCTGAGAGTACTAGGAACTCTATAGCATGCCGGGTTCATTGAGATTTGTAAGTACCCTTATTTGGACCTAGATAAGTCAACGCGAATGGACTAACCGTCGAAGCCTGTGGCAGTCTCGACACAAGACGCTAATGGAAACTCGACCAAGGCTACGTTAAGAAAGTGTACCATTGTTTATCGCCTGTGAAGAGGTAAGTGAAATTTTAACTGCCACAGGACAGTTTGAACACAGGAGTGTTGAAACACTCCCTCCCTAAATGAAAGGGAGTGTTTCATTTAGTTTCGCCTGTGAAGAGTCTGTTGACATTAGTATATCGATATTAGCCAACCCAATGATGGCCAGTGAAGTTAGCGAGGAAAACAGAGACGGGTATTGTCGGCTTAAAGCAGTGAAAATAGTGAACTGGCTGTGACGGCGCTCAAAATCGAAAATTGAATCAACTGCTGAAGTCGGTCACTAATATTTTCATCCACGGTTGCGAATCAGTGCAGTAGGCATTGATCTAAAGCTGCCAGGAGAGGGTACATCTCGCGGAGCAACCGGGAAGATTCAATGTTGTGTCCAGCGTTGGACGTCCTCCAGAGCGCGTCCCTCTAACTCTCCAAAATGGGCAGAGGCTCCGAGATTATCAGCAAAGAAAACAGTGGTGGATCGGCGCCACGTGTGTGATACCTAGTTAAGGAAGAGGAGGAGCGAGGATACGTGTGGTGCCAGGAATCAGCCGAGTATGTGGTGACGGAACTTGAGTGAGCTGGCGACACATGGGACCTTCAGGCCGCTCCCTGATATCACCTATTCTAGGTAGGTAATCAGCCCTCCTTTCACCTTTTTGACGATTAGGAGTTCCCAAGGAAACTTATACGAATTTTATTATTGTATAAATATGTATTCATGTGACAGGATGTATTGGGACTATACTTGTAAATAATTAGGGCAATTATATGTTCATGTGCTTGAGTGGTTATATATTTTAGTAACTAAGTAAAGCCTCAACTTTTTGTTGAATGATCAGTATTATCACTGGACATTTCACAATCTTTAAGATTAATTTTAAGTTCTACTATTTTACTGGAACTTTACCTGTGTTAAAGATATGTCCTTTCAAATTCAGTAGAGTAACGTTAGTATTATTGAACGTCGAGAGCGGCCGTTGACTGTAAATTTGATTGAAATTATCACACAAGTATATATTTATTTTTGTATTTCTCTTGTCAGTTAATGTGTTTTTTATACATTTTAAACGCTGTATTATGTGAACCTGCATTACAGTTATGCTATGTCTTATATATGTGAAAGCTTGACGATAGAATATTAGCAACTAAGTACAAGAAGAAAAATTAAATGGAATCGGGGAACGTAGCCTCATATTCGAGAGGACTACTAAAGTGTGTGTCGAGTATTGGAGTCATTTCCTACGGTCCGCCCGCCCTCTGGGAACGGAGACTAGCCTAGTGAGTCCTCAGAGGTGTTGCAGGGTCTCTGTTTTGGGCTGGTGCACATTGGGGGTTAAGCTCCGAATTCTTCACGAGAGGAGTAGAGCCGGTCATGAGGATACTGTGGAGAGAGCAGTGACGGTGTCACCCGCGTAGCGTAAATAGACTGTGCCATTCTTTCCCCGAGACACTACTTTGCCCTACATTGACCTGCTACTTTGCCCTACATTGACCTGCTACTTTGCCCTACATTGACCTGCTACTTTGCCCTACATTGACCTGCTACTTTGCGCTACTCTGACGTGCTACTGGCGCCCTATCCCTCCCACTCATCCAAGACACGTAGGAGGGGTAGGGCGCCATCCACGTGTTATTGCCTCCACTCAACCCTATCTGAAACAATATTATATCAGTATCTCATGCTGACGTACACACTACAGGGCTGACAAATCTCCCTTTCTGACTACAAGGATGACATTGCTAACTTACCTTTCATAATACAAGGCTGATGGAGCTGACCTACCATTCGGGCTACGGGGTTGAGTGTGCAGACCTTCCTTTCAGGCTGACATACCTTTCTGACTACAGGACTGATAATGCTGACCTACCTTTCAGAAACAGACCACAGGTTATCTTGAGATGATTTCGGGGCTTAGCGTCCCTGTGGCCCGGTCATCGACAAGCCTCCTTTTCGTTACCCCCAGGAAGCAGCCCGTAGCAGCTGTCTAACTCCCAGGTACCTATTAACTGCTAGGTGAACAGATGCATCAGGGTGAAAGTAACTCTACCCCATCTGTTTCCGACTCCATGGGTGATCGAACCCGGAACCTTAGGACTACGAATCCGAAGCGCTGTCCACTCTCAGCTGTCAGGCCCCTATGCCAGGGCTGACAGTTCTGACATACCTTTCAGACCACAGTGCTGGCAGTGCTGACCTTCTTTTCAGACTACAGGACTGACAGTGGAAGACTTACCTTTCTGACTCTAGGGCTAAGAGTACTGACCTGCCTTTCTAGAACTGACGAACCATGTTCGATTTGGTTGGGTTAGACTGCGTTGGGTTGTTGGGTTAGACTGCGTTGGGTTGTTGGGTTAGACTGCGTTGGGTTGGGTTGTTGGGTTGGGTTAGACTGTATTGGGTTGGGTTGGGTTAGACTGCGTTGGGTTGTTGGTTGGGTTGGGTTAGACTGCGTTGGGTTGTTGGGTTTGACTGCGTTGGGTTGTTAGGTTAGACAGCGTTGGGTTAGACTACGTTGGGTTGTTGGGTTAGACTGCGTTGGGTTGTGTTAGACTGCGTGGGTTGGTTAGACTGCATTGGGTTGTTGGGTTAGACTGCGTTGGGTTGTTGGGTTAGATTACGTTGGGTTGTTGGGTTAGACTGCGTTGGGTTGTTGGGTTAGACTGCGTTGGGTTGTTGGGTTAGACTGCGTTGGGTTGTTGGGTTAGACTGCGTTGGGTTGTTGGGTTAGACTGCGTTGGGTTGTTGGGTTAGACTGCGTTGGGTTGTTGGGTTAGACTGCGTTGGGTTGGTTAGACTGCGTTGGGTTGTTGGGTTAGACTGCGTTGGGTTGTTGGGTTAGACTACGTTGGGTTGTTGGGTTAGACTGCGTTGGGTTGTTGGGTTAGACTGCGTTGGGTTGGTGGGTTGGTCCACACAATCAACCACAGAAGGTGATTCGGTGCTTTTAAAATGCTAAGCTAACCTACATACGTAAATACATAAATATACAGATTTACGTATGTCCTACATAAAGTGTTCGATGTGTCTTTTACATAGTGTCATTAATGTACATTTACAAAGGTGAAATGTAATTCTGATCAGCTTCCACATATACTTTATACACATACATATACATACACACATTGGGTTGTTTAGGTTAGACTGGGTTAGACTGCGTTGGGTTGTTGGGTTAGACTGCGTTGGGTTGTTGGGTTAGACTGCGTTGGGTTGGTTGGTTAGACTGCGTTGGGTTGTTGGGTTAGACTGCGTTGGGTTGTTGGGTTAGACTGCGTTGGGTTGTTAGGTTAGACTGCGTTGGGTTGTTAGGTTAGACTGCGTTGGGTTGTTGGGTTAGACTGCGTTGGGTTGTTAGGTTAGACTGCGTTGGGTTGTTGGGTTAGACTGCGTTGGGTTGTTGGGTTAGACTGCGTTGGGTTGTTGGGTTAGACTGCGTTGGGTTGTTAGGTTAGACTGCGTTGGGTTGTTGGGTTAGACTGCGTTGGGTTGTTGGGTTAGACTGCGTTGGGTTGATAGGTTAGACTGCGTTGGGTTGTTGGGTTAGACTGCGCTGGGTTGGGTTAGACTGTGTTAAGTTGTTGGGTTAGAGTGCGTTGGGTTGTTGGGTTAGACTGCGTTGGATTGTTTGGTTAGACTGCGTTGGATTGTTAGGTTAGACTGCGTTGGGTTGGGTTAAACTGCGTTGGGTTGTTGGGTTAGACTGCGTTGGATTGTTAGGTTAGACTGCGTTGGGTTGTTGGGTTAGACTGCGTTGGGTTGTTAGGTTAGACTGCGTTGGGTTGTTAGGTTAGACTGCGTTGGGTTGTTGGGTTAGACTGCGTTGGGTTTGGGTTGTTGGGTTAGACTGCGTTGGGTTGTTGGGTTAGACTGCGTTGGGTTGTTGGGTTAGACTGCGTTGGGTTGTTGGGTTAGACTGCGTTAGACTGGTTGGGTTGTTGGGTTAGACTGCGTTGGGTTGTTGGGTTAGACTGCGTTGGGTTGTTAGGTTAGACTGCGTTGGGACTGCGTTGTTGGGTTAGACTGCGTTGGGTTGTTGGGTTAGACTGCGTTGGGTTGTTGGGTTAGACTGCGTTGGGTTGTTGGGTTAGACTGCGTTGGGTTGTTAGGTTAGACTGCATTGGGGTTGGGTTAGACTGCGTTGGGTTGTTGGGTTAGACTGCGTTGGGTTGTTGGGTTAGACTGCGTTGGGTTGGGTTGACTGCGTTGGGGTTGGGTTAGACTGCGTTGGGTTGTTAGGTTAGACTGCGTTGGGTTGTTAGGTTAGACTGGGTTGTTAGACTGCGTGGGTTAGACTGCGTTGGGTTGTTAGGTTGGACTGCGTTGGGTTGTTAGGTTAGACTGCGTTGGGTTTTTAGGTTAGACTGCGTTGGCTTGGGTTAGACTGCGTTGGGTTGTTAGGTTGGACGGCGTTGGGTTGGTTAGACTGCGTTGGGTTGTTGGGTTAGACTGCGTTGGGTTGTTGGGTTAGACTGCGTTGGGTTGTTGGGTTAGTGCGTTGGGGTTGTTGGGGTTAGGTTAGACTGCGTTGGGTTGTTAGGTTAGACTGCGTTGGGTTGGGTTAGACTGCGTTGGGTTGTTGGGTTAGACTGCGTTGGGTTGTTAGGTTAGACTGCGTTGGGTTGTTAGGTTAGACTGCGTTGGGTTGTTAGGTTAGACTGCGTTGGGTTGTTGGGTTAGACTGCGTTGGGTTGTTGGGTTAGACTGCGTTGGGTTGTTAGGTTAGACTGCGTTGGGTTGGGTTAGACTACGTTGGATTGTTGGGTTAGACTGCGTTGGGTTGTTGGGTTAGACTGCGTTGGGTTGTTAGGTTAGACTGCGTTGGGTTGTTGGGTTAGACTGCGTTGGGTTGTTAGGTTAGACTGCGTTGGGTTGTTGGGTTAGACTGCGTTGGGTTGGTTGGTTAGACTGCGTTGGGTTGTTGGGTTAGACTGCGTTGGGTTGGTTGGTTAGACTGCGTTGGGTTGTTGGGTTAGACTGCGTTGGGTTGTTAGGTTAGACTGCGTTGGGTTGTTGGGTTAGACTGCGTTGGGTTGTTGGGTTAGACTGCGTTGGGTTGTTAGGTTAGACTGCGTTGGGTTGTTAGGTTAGACTGCGTTGGGTTGTTGGGTTAGACTGCGTTGGGTTGTTGGGTTAGACTGCGTTGGGTTGTTGGGTTAGACTGCGTTGGGTTGTTAGGTTAGACTGCGTTGGGTGGTTGGGTTAGACTGCGTTGGGTTGTTAGGTTAGACTGCGTTGGGTTGGGTTAGACTGCGTTGGGTTGTTAGGTTAGACTGCGTTGGGTTGTTGGGTTAGACTGCGTTGGGTTGTTAGGTTAGACTGCGTTGGGTTGTTGGGTGGTTGGGTTAGACTGCGTTGGGTTGTTGGGTTAGACTGCGTTGGGTTGTTAGGTTAGACTGCGTTGGGTGGTTGGGTTAGACTGCGTTGGGTTGGTTGGTTAGACTACGTTGGGTTGTTAGGTTATACTGCGTTGGGTTGTTGGGTTAGACTGCGTTGGGTTGTTGGGTTAGACTGCGTTAGACTGGTTGCGTTGGGTTGTTAGGTTAGACTGCGTTGGGTTGTTAGGTTAGACTGCGTTGGGTGGTTGGGTTAGACTGCGTTGGGTTGTTAGGTTAGACTGCGTTGGGTTGTTGGGTTAGACTGAGTTGGGTTGTTAGGTTAGACTGCGTTGGGTTGTTAGGTTAGATTGCGTTGGGTGGTTGGGTTAGACTACGTTGGGTGGTTGGGTTAGACTGCGTTGGGTTGTTAGGTTAGACTGCGTTGGGTTGTTAGGTTAGACTGCGTTGGGTTGTTGGGTTAGACTGCGTTGGGTTGTTAGGTTAGACTTCGTTGGGTGGTTGGGTTAGACTGCGTTGGGTTGGTTGGTTAGACTACGTTGGGTTGTTGGGTTAGACTGCGTTGGGTTGGGTTAGACTGCGTTGGATTGTTGGTTTAGACTGCGTTGGATTGTTGTGTTGGGCCACACAATCAACCACAGAAGGTGATTCGGTGCTTTTAAAATGCTAAGCTAACCTACATGCGTAAATACATAAATATACAGATTTACGTATGCCTTACATAAAGTGTTCGATGTGTCTTTTACATAGTGTCATTAATGTACATTTACAAAGGTAAAATGTAATTCTGATCAGCTTCCACAAATACTTTATACACATACATATACATACACACACATATACGTACATGTACATATATACATACATATATACACACACATGCATTCACATACATTTGTCTCTCTTACTCTGACAGGGTGAGATAGCTGATAGAGAAACTAGTGTGCAATTAAGCTCTTAATCACTGAAGGTGATTAAGGTGCTTTTACAAGCTCAGGTTATATAGTTACATCACATACATACATTGTATAATTGATATATTACATGGTCAATCTTGGGTACAAGTCCAATATATCAAGTGTTCCAGTACTCATATAGTAGTTACAGAGTTCAGTATACCTCAGCCCAGGAGGGCGAAAGTCAGTCAATATGGGATATTATACAATATAATGTTCAAGGGAGTGCAAGTTTTCTCTTTCACAAAAATGACACAATGTGTACTCGACATTTGGGTTTTGAGAAAGCTGCCAGATACGTCTATATCCCAGGCGGATTCTGGCCACTATAACATCACATTGCCGGGTTCTTGTTCTATTTGTCCCATATGAGATTGTCTCCTCACGATATCTATCATAATATTTAATGCTACAACTTTCAGGTCTTTGTGAATTTGTTAGGTCGGTGAGATTTTCATTAGATATTTTGTTTAAGTATTCTCTTTGTCACTGCTAATGAAATACCCATATCAATTTCTACCACTGGTTTTCTACAGGCTGTCTTTGCAAGCATATCAACGCCATGTCATGCCTTGACATGTCAACATGTGATGGTATCCATAGGAATTTATTTTCAAATCTGTTTTCTTTAGCAGCTAAAACATTCATTCGAATATCACTGACTATTTTCTGGGTGTCACTACTATGTGCGTTCAATGCCAGGAGTGCACTCTGCGAGTCACAGTATATACGTCCACTGCCTTTGTCTTTTAAAAATTCAGTGGCAAGGTATATTGAGTGCAAGTAAATGTGTTGAAGTCTTATACTCCATACCTTGTGCACCTTGCTGTTTATTCAGTCAGTCATCTTGACGTGCTACAACGTACAGAACACGAAGTGCTAACCTAAGCAGGAACGTACGAAACGAAGCAACCTACCTAACCTACAAATGCATAGAAAACGTGGGTATTTGTGAGGCGCTTTGCTCAAATACAGCAAAGTACTATGCTGTCACTGCAATCCGTCCTCTTAAAAAAAACGTCACTTTTGGCTCGTATGCGCGCTATGGCCAAATTTGGACGTAATTTGAAATGAAATCGACTCACAAAAGTGACGTACTGTTCCGTTTTCTGTTTGAGTCGTCCGGCTTACTCTGCCAGCTTAGAAAAGAATTCTTTCCATTAACGTTTTTCATTCCGTTTTGAAACTTTATGAGAATTTCCTGCCCACCTAACCTATCAGAGGACCCTTAACTTACTGTTGTTGAAAAAATAATCCAAAATTTATATTCATTTTTTTTCATTTTCAAATTACGTCCCTATTCGGCCATACGGGCAAACGGCCAAAAGCGACGTTCTTTTTTAGAGGACAGGTTGAAAAAGATCACAGTTCTTAAGTAGATCTTGACAGCCTGTCAGTCACCACCAGTGCTCGGTGTTGGTCATCAGCTACGAGCTTCGATTCTTCACAACCAAAGGTCATTATTGTTATAAATAACCTCATAGTGCTTCGCAAGTCAGAAAGTGTTTAGTAAGTGTAAACAAAGCCGTCATGATTGAAGGATGTACAAGTTTCGTAAGTGCATGGGTAAATGTTTGATGCATCGTCAGCTGTTTCGTGCTGGAAATTTGTTTCTCAAGGGACCTGCTAATCTGCAATTTGCAATTCTCTGTTCTTGTTGTTGTTGTTAAAGATTCGCTACCTGGAACATAAAGTTCCGAGCAGCATGGGCTATGGTGAGCCCGTAGTTTTCTCTGTTCTTATAACGAGACAGTTAACCAATCAATCCTTTCCGCTAATACGTCTCATTTTGTACGTTATGGTCCTCAACGTTCAAATTACAAAGTGGAGTAAATTCTCATAAAGTTTCAAAACGTTATGAAAAAATTAATGGAAAGAATCCTTTTCTAAGCTGGCAGAGTAAGCCGGACGACTCAAACAGAAAACGGAACAGTACGTCACTTTTGTGAGTCGATTTCATGTCAAATTACGTCCAAATTTGGCCATAGCGCGCATACGAGCCAAAAGTGACGTTATCTTTAAGAGGACGGGTTGGATCACGAAGCAAACTATTTACCGTTCCATGAGTGGATGACCCGAGGGGTGCCAAGAAGCCCGGCCATGTCCATTTGGTGCAGGTAATCTTTGTTGATATTTTCAATCTCCACCTTGTTGGGGTGGTTCAGTATGCCCTCTGACCTGCGGAGGAAGCACCTGCCGTAGTGGCCCAGGCCCGCCCCGAGGTCGGCCACGGTGGTGTTGCCGAAGAGCTGCTCCAAGCCCGCGCACAGCTGCGAGAAACACAGGAGAGATTGGTTCCTTAATCTCAGTAAACCGTCAGTAAAGACCATCACTCTTTACTGATGGTTTGGAAGTTGGGTAATAGGGGGATGTTCATTAAAAACTGATGTAAGACTTTAGTACGTAGGAATCTTGAACAGGATTATTTGCCTATGCGAGATATCTCCTATTTACATGAAACTGCCCCAGTCCTGCGCTTGCTGGGCTTCTGCTTGAAACATTTCACTGAGTTTATTTCGTATATATAGTGTCTGATGTTATTTAAGGAAACATTTACCGTCAGTCTAAGAAACTAGGGCCAGGATACATAAAACACTTACGAAACCCGTACATCTTTTCTCAATAATTACGACTTGTTTGTACGTTTATTAAACAGTTTATGAGCTCGAAAACACTACTAGGTTGTTAACAATAATAACCTCGGTTTGTGAAGTCTTCTAATTCGTAAACTGTTTAATAATACAGACTAAGTCGCCACGATGAAAGATGTACAGGTTTCGTATGAGGAAAAGTAAATGCTTGATGATTCCTGGCACAGGATCCTTTTTCCAAGGGATAAGGAAGTAATAACCGAGGGACCTGTCTAGATAATTAACGTCAGGATGCGAGCAGCTGAGTCAAACAGCCTGGTTGACCAGACCACCAACCAGGAGACCGTTCATCATCGGAACTAAAGCAATGTAACTGAAAGGTATATGAAACTTGGCACTCTGCATGTAATTACCTTGTCACTATATGTAGTTACTTTGACACTCTGTATGTGGTTATCTTGGCATTATATGTATTTACCTTTACACTCTATATGTAGTTACCTTATCACTGTATGTAGTTACTTTGGCACTACATGTAGTTACCTTGGCACTATATGTAGTTACCTAGGCACTATATGCAGTTACCTTGGCACTATATGTAGTTACCTTGGCACTATATGCAGTTACCTTGGCACTATATGTAGTTACCTTGGCACTATATGCAGTTACCTTGGCACTACATGTAGTTACCTTGGCACTATATGTAGTTACCTTGGCACTATATGCAGTTACCTTGGCACTATATGTAGTTACCTTGGCACTATATGTAGTTACCTTGGCACTATATGTAGTTACCTTGGCACTATATGCAGTTACCTTGGCAGTATATGTAGTTACCTTGGCACTATATGTAGTTACCTTGGCACTCCACAAGTTGTTACCGTCGACAAGGAGACTTGTGTTGCTAAGACAGAGCCTGCCCGTGCGCGGCGCCCCGCTCTCCCCACAGAGAAGCTTCCCGGGCAGCTTCCTCTGGTGCTGCCTCTGTGGCGCCCTCTGTCGCCGCCCCTGAGGCACAGAACACGCGGGAGCATAGGAATTAATGAAACTGCAGAAGGCGTAGATGTGGTGCAAGTGTGGGGCAGGGTGTGGTGCAAGTGTGGGGCAGGGTGTGGTGCAAGTGTGGGGCAGGGTGTGGTGCAAGTGTGGGTCAGGGTGTGGTGCAAGTGTGGGGCAGGGTGTGGTGCAAGTGTGGGGCAGGGTGTGGTGCAAGTGTGGGTCAGGGTGTTGTGCAAGTGTGGGTCAGGGTGTGGTGCAAGTGTGGGGCAGGGTGTGGTACAAGTGTGGGGCAGGGTGTGGTACAAGTGTGGGGCAGGGTGTGGGACAAGTGTGGGGCAGGGTGTGGGACAAGTGTGGGGGCAGGGTGTGGTGCAACTGTGGGGGCAGGGTGTGGTGCAAGTGTGGGGCAGGGTGTTGTGCAAGTGTGGGGCAGGGTATGGTGCAAGTATGGGTCAGGGTGTGGTGCAAGTGTGGGTCAGGGTGTGGTGCAAGTGTGGGGGCAGGGTGTGTCGCAAGTGTGGGGGCAGGGTGTGTCGCAAGTGTGGGGCAGGGTGTGGTGCAAGTGTGGGGGCAGGGTGTGGTGCAAGTGTGGGGCAGGGTGTGGTGCAAGTGTGGGGACAGGGTGTGGTGCAAGTGTGGGGCAGGGTGTGGTGCAAGTGTGGGTCAGGGTGTGGTGCAAGTGTGGGGGCAGGGTGTGGTGCAAGTGTGGGTCAGGGTGTGGTGCAAGTGTGGGGACAGGGTGTGGTGCAAGTGTGGGTCAGGGTGTGGTGCAAGTGTGGGGCAGGGTGTGGTGCAAGTGTGGGGGCAGGGTGTGGTGCAAGTGTGGGTCAGGGTGTGGTGCAAGTGTGGGTCAGGGTGTGGTGCAAGTGTGGGGCAGGGTGTGGTGCAAGTGTGGGGGCAGGGTGTGTCGCAAGTGTGGGGCAGGGTGTGGTGCAAGTGTGGGGGCAGGGTGTGGTGCAAGTGTGGGGCAGGGTGTGGTGCAAGTGTGGGTGCATGGTGTGGTGCAAGTGTGGGGACAGGGTGTGGTGCAAGTGTGGGGCAGGGTGTGGTGCAAGTGTGGGTCAGGGTGTGGTGCAAGTGTGGGGGCAGGGTGTGGTGCAAGTGTGGGGCAGGGTGTGGTGCAAGTGTGGGGACAGGGTGTGGTGCAAGTGGTGTGGTGCAAGTGTGGGTCAGGGTGTGGTGCAAGTGTGGGGGCAGGGTGTGGTGCAAGTGTGGGGCAGGGTGTGGTGCAAGTGTGGGGCAGGGTGTGGTGCAAGTGTGGGGCAGGGTGTGGTGCAAGTGTGGGGCAGGGTGTGGTGCAAGTGTGGGGCAAGTGTGTGGGGCAGGGTGTGGTGCAAGTGTGGGGCAGGGTGTGGTGCAAGTGTGTGGGTCAGGGTGTGGTGCAAGTGTGGGTCAGGGTGTGGTGCAAGTGTGGTGCAGGGTGTGGTGCAAGTGTGGGGCAGGGTGTGGTGCAAGTGTGGGGCAGGGTGTGGTGCAAGTGTGGGGCAGGGTGTGGTGCAAGTGTGGGGCAGGATGTGGTGCAAGTGTGGGGCAGCGTGTGGTGCAAGTGTGGAGCAGCAAGTGTGGAGCAGCGTGTGGTGCAAGTGTGGAGCAGCGTGTGGTGCAAGTGTGGGGCAGGGTGTGGTGCAAGTGTGAGCCAGGGTGTGGTGCAAGTATGGGTCAGGGTGTGGTGCAAGTGTGGGTCAGGGTGTGGTGCAAGTGTGGGGCAGGGTGTGGTGCAAGTATGGGGCAGGGTGTGGTGCAAGTGTGGGGCAGGGTGTGGTGCAAGTGTGGGTCAGGGTGTGGTGCAAGTGTGGGGCAGGGTGTGGTGCAAGTGTGGGGCAGGGTGTGGTGCAAGTGTGGGGCAGGGTGTGGGACAAGTGTGGGGCAGGGTGTGGGACAAGTGTGGGGCAGGGTGTGGGACAAGTGTGGGGCAGGGTGTGGTGCAAGTGTGGGGCAGGGTGTGGTGCAAGTGTGGGGGCAGGGTGTGGTGCAAGTGTGGGGGCAGGGTGTGGTGCAAGTGTAGGGCAGGGTGTGGTGCAGGGTGTGGGACAAGTGTGGGGCAGGGTGTGGTGCAAGTGTGGGGCAGGGTGTGGTGCAAGTGTGGGGCAGGGTGTGGTGCAAGTGTGGGGCAGGGTGTGGTGCAGGGTGTGGGACAAGTGTGGGGCAGGGTGTGGTGCAGGGTGTGGGACAAGTGTGGCGCAGGGTGTGGTGCAAGTGCGGGTCAGGGTGTGGTGCACGGATATACCGCGTCATCCGTCTATACTGTCAGAATAATTATCATTGTTTGCCAATAAATAAAGAAAGATTGAGCTTAGTAAACCATTAATAACCAATTGAAGCTAATAATTAACTTGTCTGTTCACTCTTGCAGCATAATGATACTTAAATTCTTTTACTTGGAAAACAGTTCAGCTACTGGCCAAAAGTTCGAAAGGTAGAGGCCTAATATTAAGTGGTTAGAATGAAAGCGGTTTGGGGGGTTGTGGTTAGAGGGAGGGTGGATAGTGCCACCAATCCTCAGACTAAGTCCATTTTATCCAGCGTTCGACCCCAATGATGCATTCATCAATTTTAACATGTTGTTCATTCAATACATGAATTTTCTCAAATATAAGTTTATATTGTTATATAAACAATATAAACTTATATTTATATTGTGTAACAGTGTATATTGCGCATATTTAGGCATTGGTTAGGTTAGGTGTTCAGGTTCTGTTGGCAATTATTTGTATTTGTAGTACGTGGGTGAAGCATTTACAGCGTTGAGGTTCGAACACAAGTTGTCAGTGAAGCAAAAGCCAAACCGGAAGCAAAAAAACAACACAGGGCAAAGTCCATTCCATGCACCCGCCAAACCCGCTTATTTATGAATGAAAAACACATTACACACGACTCACAACTGATGACGTCCGAACACTTCCGGAACAAGTGCTTCGCTGACGACTTTTGTTCGAACCACAACGCTGTAAATGCTTCACCCACGTACTACAAATACAAATAATTGCCAACAGAACCTGAACACCTAACTTAACCAATGCCTAAATATACATAATATACTAATATATAAGAATATTAACTTATATTTGAAAAAAAATAATGTTTTGAACGAACAGCATATTAAAATTTATGTACGCGTCTTTGGGGTCGACCGCTGGAGGGAATGGACTTGGCGTGGGTGAACAACCCGTCCTCACACTAGGCTGTTTAAAGCAACGGCCGTCCTCCCCAAACGCATTAATCAATTTTAACACACTGTGTATTAAAAATTGGTTTGTTCGCATATATAAATTAATATTATTATACATAAAAATTATATGTATAGTTAGGCGTAAGTTAGATGTCTAGGTCGAATCCTGCTCATGGCTTCTAAATCATAATGTGATTTCACTGTACACACTCCGTGTACAGGGTTCACTCTCCCGCGGCAACTATCTTAGCGTGCTGACCTGATTGTGATGACTCACACTTAGCGTAACTCTAATATGTTCACACTTGAGTGTGACAATAATAATTATAATATGAGAAAGTTCCTGCCTTGAAGTTATAAATCTCTTCCTTCATCTCTACCATGGCTGTATCTAGCAAGTCTAGTGAGGGTGGCCTGAATTGGGGCTATGACTCGTTAACTAGGGTGGTTAGTGTGAGGGTAGTTAGTGAGAAGGGTCGTTAATGGAAGGGTAGTTATAGCGAGCAGCATAAATAGTTGGCATTTAAATGAGTTAGACGATTAACACAAGACAACCACTATGTCATTACTTACCTTCAACTATTCTAATTAGTTTCCAGAAAAGATCACTTTAATTCATCTAATGTTAAGTGCTAAATATAACTCCAGTTTACGCTCGACTTGTGATATTCCTAAGGACTAAGGTGAGGGACTTTACTCACGTGAGTCCAATAACCAATAACAGTCACATAACAATAGCACCTTGACTCATCAACCACACTGACCAATAATTCAGTGACTGACCAATGCAATGTTTACGCACCAACAGGCATCACGGGAGCCACACAATACTCTTATAAACACACCTCTTCGTAACGACTGGTGTAGCCGTCGTCGTTAGGATGGTCGTCCTTGTTTGGATGGTCGCCCTTGTTAGGATGGTCGCCGTCATCGTTAGGATGGTCGTCCTTGTTTGGATGGTCGCCCTTGTTAGGATGGTCGCCGTCGTCGTTAGGATGGTCGCCCACATACCAGGTATAGAGGTGTACGGTGAACACCGACCATCCTACGACCAACGCGATGATGGTGGACACTTTGGGCATTGCTCTTAGTGGGATGAGTTAATGAGTGAATGGGGAAGATGAGTTAATAGGCAGTGAGAATTAAAGTGTTTGGGTACAAACTGTCCTCTTAACTAATACGTGCCATTTTTAATGGACTGGTTGATTCCGTTAAAAATTGGACATATTTGTCCTAGTATTAGTACTTGTTCATACTAGTCCTAGTATGTACTAGTACATACCTGTCCTAGTACCTAATGCTAATAGTTGATATTCTGCACTATTTCCTAGTATGAACCAATTAGCTAGCTGTGGTTATCCCTTGTTCTTATGCTATTATCAGGTCATGGAATACCTGCTAAGTTAGAGTCTAGACGCTTAGGACTAGCCTAATTAAAAACTTTACAATTGTCATAGGCAGGTCAGGGTTAGCCCAGTTGGGTCCGACCTGGGTAACATTTAGGTACCTCATCTACTATTCACTCTTATGTGTGTCACTCATTTGTCACTGCGGCATATTGGTTTGCCAGAAAACCACCTGTTAGCGATTTATAAGTGTGTTTTACTTATACGAAGAATAAGTCACAGTAAAATATCTGGCAACTAGGAAGGCCCACTATATATACGAAATGAAAATGACGATGTTTCGGGCCGTCCTGGACACTCAAGTCGAAACTTAGACAGCCGCTCTTCACACTAACACAACACAATAACGTGATATATATATTTGCTAAAATAATTGAAGAAGGACGAGGCTCGAAACATTGTGGTTCAGTGGGTTAAGGCACTCATGTGGGACGCTAATGCGTGCCGTCCTTCTAAAGATTTTAACATTTTTTCTTTAGTTTCTCCTTGCCTCCAGGGATCCAGTGGCACACTGTGCAAGAGTAACGTTAATTGAACGCTGATAACGTTGATTCGACGTTGTATTAACGTCACTGTTGTTATTTTGGCCACTCGGGAGCTGCCTTGAGCTCCGTGTTTCATGCTAAAATGTTCCCCACATGCACATAACCTCACCTCACACCTCAACTGCTCTCTGGTCTTATATAGCCTTCCTTTCCCCACTGTGACTCTGTTTCAACTTGATAATGGGCCTTGATTTTGGAGGGTGGCAGCGCCCGTGAAGGCAGACTTCATTCCTCTGTCAATCCGTTATTACGAATGTTTTTGATAAAACATTCACCAAGACCATGGCAGGTCGATTTCTCCGCCTCACACTAACTGTAGTGTTAAGTGAGACCTCACACTATCTTTTGCAGTAGTTTGCCTAAATAGACGTATTCATGAGTAGTTGTTAGGAGGTAGTTGAGTGCAATTATGGGAATGCGAGCCATAATCATAACGTAATCCTCGTTTCGATCTTTAAGTATACCTTGCCAACAGGTGTTATATGATTGTTACCCTCACCCCTCACTAGTGTATATAACAGCTATCATGCCGGCAGGATATAAATGTTTCATCCTCTAGAGACTAACGCGTGTTAGAACGTCCACACTGAAGGCGGACCACAATGAAGACTCCTAGCCAGCGAAGGCTTATATCCTTTATATATAAGTATAGATATATCCTTTAGATAACCTTTAGGTTACTAACACTAAATGATTTACTTAACTGTTGAACTTACACCATCCAGTGCTTGTAGATCATTTAAGTAAGGTTTTAATTTATGGGAGTAAAATTCTGGTCTAAGGTCATTTGGCACTGTTGCCGAGGTATAAATTAATTGATTAACCCATGTATCATATTCGCTTGTGCAGGATGCATGGGTCAACAGTTTGCTTGCTCACTTAAGCAAAGCGCACAATAACAAGACTCGGAACTTTGGAATCACATTAAAATGAGGAAGATTCCTCATATCTATACAACTGTTTAAATTATATTTAAATGAAAATAAAAGAACAAATACGGTTGTCATACAGTTCATTTAAGCACATAATACATTTACCACACGGGGTGACAGGTGTGAGAAGGGGGGGGGTTGCAGTTGTGGAAGGTAACAGGTGTGGGAAGGGGGGAGGTTGCAGGTGTGGAGGGTAACAGGGGGTGAGGAAAGGTTGCAGGTGTGGAGGGTAACAGGTGTGGGGGAAGGTTGCAGGTGTGGAGGGTAACAGGTGTGGGGGAGGTTGCAGGTGTGGAGGGTAACAGGTGTGGGGGAACGTTGCAGGTGTGGAGGGCAACAGGTGTGGGGGAATGTTGCAGGTGTGGAGGGTAACAAGGGTGGGGGGAAGGATGTCGGTGTGAGGGAAGGTTGCAGGTGTGGAGGGTAACAGGGGTGGGGGAAAGGATGTCGGTGTGGGGGATAACAGGGGTGGGGGGAAGGTTGCAGGTGTGGAAGGTAACATAGGTGAGGGAAGGTTACAGGTGTGGAGGGTAACAAAGGTGAGGGAAGGTTGCAGGTGTGGAGGGTAACAGGGGGGTGGGGGAAGGTTGCAGGGTGTGGGGGAAGGTTGCAGGTGTGGAGGGTAACAGGTGTGGGGGAAGGTTGCAGGTGTGGAGGGTAACAGGTGTGGGGAAGGATGTAGGTGTTGGGGGTAACAGGGGTGGGGAGATGATTGCAGGTGTAGAGGGTAACAGGGGTGGGGGGGATGGTTGCAGGTGTGGAGGATAACAGGGGGTGGGGGTATGGTTGCAGGTGTGGAGGGTAACACAGAAGGTTGTAGGTGGGGAAGGGTAACAGGTGGGGGAATGGTTGCAGGTGTGGAGGGTAACAGGGGTGGGGGGATGGTTGCAGGTGTGGAGGGTAACAGGGGTGTGGGGGGATGGTTGCAGGTGTGGAGGGTAACAGGGGGGGGGTATGGTTGCAGGTGTAGAGGGTAACAGGGGTGGGGGGGATGGTTGCAGGTGTGGAGGATAACAGGTGCAGCATTATACATCCAGGGTTATCTACTACCACAGCTGCCATTCAACACCTGCCACTGTTTCACCACCACCACAACCACTACCCTCAACTACCCCCCTATGCTACTAACACCATCATTATCACCACAACTACTACCACTACTGCCACCACCTCCCCCCACACTACCATCACAACCACTATCATTACTACCACCACCACTACCTGCACCACCTCCACCACAACAAGCACCACCACCTTAAAAATCACCAAAATACCCACCCATTGAACTACTATCACCCTAACACCGCACCCAATACCCCCTCTACTATAAACCCCACCTACCCCAACTACCACCCCACTATGGCACGCCTTAACTCCACCCATCCACACACTACTCCTACAGCTTACACAACCAACCACCACACCATTCTGTCCTTACTATACTACCACGTCCACTTCATCCACCACCATTACCACCCAGCCATCACCACCATTACCACCCAGCCATCACCACCATCACCACCCAGCCATCACCACCACCCAGCCATCAACACCACCACCACCACCACCATCACCACCCAGCCATCACCACCACCACCACCATCACCACCCAGCCATCACCACCATCACCACCCAGCCATCACCACCACCACCACCCAGCCATCACCACCACCACCACCCAGCCATCACCACCACCACCACCCAGCCATCACCACCACCACCACCCAGCCATCACCACCACCACCACCCATCCATCACCACCACCACCCATCCATCACCACCAACACCACCCAGCCATCACCACCACCACCACCCAGCCATCACCACCACCACCACCCAGCCATCACCACCACCACCACCCAGCCATCATCACCACCGCCACCACCCAGCCAACACCACCGTCACCACCCAGCCATCACAACCATCGCCACCCAGTCATCACCACCAAGCCATCACCACCATCACCACCCAGCCATCACCACCATCACCACCCAGCCATCACCACCCAGCCATCACCACCCAGCCATCACTACCCAGCCATCACCACCCAGCAATCACCATCAACACCACCCAGCCAACACCACCATCACCACCCTCCATCACCACCATCACCACCCAGCCATCACCACCCAGCCATCACCACACCACCACCCAGCCATCACCACACCACCACCCAGCCATCACTACCCAGCCATCACCACCATCACCACCCAGCCATCACCGCAACACCACCCAGCCATCACCGCCATCACCACCCAGCCATCACCACCCAGCCATCACCACCATCACCACCCAGCCATCACCACCCAGCCATCACCACCCAGCCATCACCACCCAGCCATCACCACCATCACCACACCACCACCCAGCCATCACCACCCAGCCATCACCACCATCGCCACCCAGCCATCACCACCATCGCCACCCAGCCATCACCACCATCGCCACCCAGCCATCACCACCATCGCCACCCAGCCATCACCACCACCACCACCCAGCCATCACCACCATCACCACCCACCCATCACCACCACCCAGCCATCACCAAACAGCCATCACCACCCTGCCATCACCACCATCACCACCCACCCATCACCACCACCCAGCCATCACCAAACAGCCATCACCACCCAGCCATCACCACACCACCTCCTAGCCATCACCACCATCACCACCCAGCCATCACCACCATCGCCACCCAGCCATCACCACCACCACCACCACCCAGCCATCACCACCATCACCACCCAGCCATCACCACCATCACCACCCAGCCATCACCACACCACCACCCAGCCATCACCACCCAGCCATCACCACCCAGCCATCACCACCATCACCACCCAGCCATCACCACCATCACCACCCAGCCATCACCACAACACCACCCAGCCATCACCACCATCACCACCCAGCCATCACCACAACACCACCCAGCCATCACCACCCAGCCATCACCACCGTCACCACCCAGCCATCACACCCACCATCACCACCATCACCACCCAGCTATCACCACCATCACCACCCAGCCATCACCACAACACCACCCAGCCATCACTACCATCACCACCCAGCCATCACCACACCACCACCCAGCCATCACCACCATCACCACCCAGCCATCACCACCATCACCACCCAGCCATCACCACCATCACAACCCAGCCATCACCACCATCACCACCCAGCCATCACCACCATCACCACCCAGCCATCACCACCATCACCACCATCACCACCCAGCCATCACCACCATCACCACCCAGCCATCACCACCATCACCACCCAGCCATCACCACCCAGCCATCACCACCATCACCACCCAGCCATCACCACCATCACCACCCAGCCATCACCACCATCACCACCCAGCCATCACCACCATCACCACCCAGCCATCACCACCATCACCACCCAGCCATCACCACCATCACCACCCAGCCATCACCACCCAGCCATCACCAACATCACCACCCAGCCATCACCACACCACCACCCAGCCATCACCACCATCACCACCCAGCCATCGCCACCCAGAAATCACCACCATCGCCACCCAGCCATCACCACCACAACCACCCACCCATCACCACCCAGCCATCACCACCATCACCACCAAGCCATCACCGCCATCACCACCCAGCCATCACCACCCAGCCATCACCTCCCAGCCATCACCTCCATCACCACCCAGCCATCACCACCATCACCACCCAGCCATCACCACCATCACCACCCAGCCATCACCACCGTCACCACCCAGCCATCACCACCCAGCCATCACCACCATCACCACTCAGCCATCACCACCCAGCCATCACCACCATCACCACCCAGCCGTCACCACCCAGCCGTCACCACCATCACCACCCAGCCATCACCACCCAGCCGTCACCACCATCACCACCCAGCCATCACCACCATCACCACCACCCAGTCATCACCACCCAGCCAACACCACCATCACCACCCAGCCATCGCCACCACCCAGCCATCACCACCCACACCACCATCACCACCCAAACACCACCATCACCACCCAAACACCACCATCACCACCCAAACACCACCATCACCACCCAAACACCACCATCACCACCCAAACACCACCATCACCACCCAAACACCACCGTCACCACCCAGCCATCACCACACCACCACCCAGCCATCACCACCCAGCCATCACCACCATCACCATCCCAACCTTACTGAAGGAACATTTATCCAACGTTTGATCAGCATTAAATCAACGTTTTAAAGATTGCTTCGTTGTAATATTGCCGTTTAACGTCACCATATCACTGTGCAGTGTGTGTAAACAAAGACACTCTCCAACCGGCATAAAGAGGCACTTGGGGATCGAACCAACCAGCGTTGAAGTAAAGAGCACGAATTGTTTACACTTGAACACGACAGAGAGGCAGTCGAACTGGACAGATTCGCCTGTCGCCTGCCACGACACGAGCGCCACGTGTTGCTAGTGTTTATGAGGCGTGTGTACATGTGTGAGGGAGGGGGGGGGTGATGGGAAAGGGGGAGGTGTGTGAGGGGAGCAGGAGAACAGGTGGAGAGGGGGAGGGTGGTGATGGGGGGCTGGTGGGAGGGTGGTGAGGGAGGGCATGGTGGAGGGTGGTGAGGAGGAAGGATGAATGGTAGGGAGGGGTTTTGGGATTGGGGTGGGAGGGGGTTGGGGGGGGGGTGTAACAAAGTTAAAAAAAACTTAACTACGTTGCATGTAGGTAGGGAGAGGGAGCAGCCTGCCCCGACGCAACCCGTCCTCGACTCAAGTCCATTCCATCCAGCGGTCGACCTCACAGGCGCATTCATAAACTTTAACTTGCTATTCATTCAAACGGGAATTTTCTCAAATGTAAATTAATATTAAAATAATTTAGCATATTGTGCATATATAGGCATAGCTTAGGTTAGGTGTTTAGGTTCTGTTGACGATTAGTTGTATTTGTAGTACGTGGGTGAAGCATTTATAGCGTTGTGATTCGAACAAAATTCGTCAGTGAAGCACTTGTTCCGGATATGTTCGAACGTCAGCAGTTGTGAGTCGTGTGTAAACCGGTTTTCATTCATAAACAGGGGGTTTGGCGGGTGGATGGGATCACTTTTGGATCTTTGTTTGGAGGACGGGCTGCAACCCGTCCTCGACTCAAGTCCATTACATTCAGCGGTCGACCCCACAGACGCATTCATAAATTTTAACATGCTGTTCATTCAAAACGGGAATTTTCTCAAGTATAAATTAATATTATAATATATTGGCATATTGTGTATATATAGGCATAGGATAGGTTAGGTTAGGTGTTTAGGTTCTGTTGACGATTATAGTTGTATTTGTAGTACGTGGGTGAAGCATTTATAGCGTTGTGATTCGAACAAAATTCGTCAGTGAAGCACTTGTTCCGGATATGTTCGAACGTCAGCAGTTGTGAGTCGTGTGTAAACCGCTTTTCATTCATAAATAGGGGGTTTGGCGGGTGGATGGAATCACTTTTGGATCTTTGTTTGGAGGACGGGCTGTTTACAGTGTTGTGGTTCGAACAAAATTCGTCAGTGAAGCACTTGTTCCGGAAGTGTTCGAACGTCAACAGTTGTGAGTTGCGTGTAAACAGTTTTCATTCAAAACAGGGGTTTGGCGGGTGCATGGAATCACTTTTGGGTCTTTGTTTAGAGGACGGGCTGCACAACCGATGTCGTCCGAATACTTCTAGAACAAGTGCTTCACTCAAGTCCTCTGTTTGAATCACAATTCTATAAATGCTTTACCCACGTACTTCAAATACAAATAATCGCCAAAAGAACCTAAACACCTAACCTAACCTACGCCTAACTATACATAGAATTTTTATGTGTAATACTAATTTATGAGAACAAACCAATTTTTAATATAGTGTGTTAAAAATGCAACCCGTCCTCAGACCAAGTTAATTCCATCCAGCGGTCGACCCCAAAGACGCATTCATCAGTTTTAACATGTTGTTCATTCAAAATAGGAATTTTCTCAATCATAAATTAATATATTAGCATATTGTTGATATTTAGCCACTGATTAGGTTAGGTGTTTAGGTTCTGTAGGCGATTATTTGAAGTACGTGGGTAAAGCTTTTATAACATTGTGGTTCGAACAAAAGTCGTCAGCGAAGCACTTATTCCTATGTTTATGAAGATGGGCTGAAAATTGATGAATGCATCTGGGGAGGATGGCTGCTGCTTTAAACAGCCTAGTGTGAGGATGGATTGTCTGGGGAGGACGGCCGCTGCTTTAAACAGCCTAGTGTGAGGACGGCCGCTGCTTTAAACAGCCTAGTGTGAGGACGGCCGCTGCTTTAAACAGCCTAGTGTGAGGACGGCTGCTGCTTTAAACAGCCTAGTGTGAGGACGGCCGCTGCTTTAAACAGCCTAGTGTGAGGACGGCTGCTGCTTTAAACAGCCTAGTGTGAGGACGGCCGCTGCTTTAAACAGCCTAGTGTGAGGACGGCCGCTACTCTAAACAGCCTAGTATGAGGACGGCCACTGCTTTAAACAGTCTAGTGTGAGGGCGGGTTGGACCACCCCACCTCCTGTCTCCTACCTGCACTGGCTGTCATTATTTCAGATAAACGCTCACTTGCAGCAGAGATAAGGAATACTCAGGTGCCAGAGCGGTGCCAACAGGGGTTGTCAGAAAACCCGACATCATTTACTAATATTCAATACAATATGCAGATGATATTGCTGCTGTCGTGTAAATTACAAATTAAACCTAGAAATAGTGTTTATTCATACAGAAAATGTTGCACATTGGAAATTTCCGTCAATAGAAAATGGGATATTATTGCCACATAGAGTATTAATTTCACCAGCTAATTCTGTTGGGAACATTCTTAATACAGCAGTCTTTGGACTTTACACGTCATAAAAACATTTCACTTGAATTAACTTTATGTACTCTATTTTGGTACTAATAATTAAGGCACTCTCTAACCACTTGATGCATCTGGAGAACAAGGAATACATCAGTGGGAGGGATGCCTGAGGAGTCAGCCATTATTATTGTTAGATCAGGGGCCAGATTCACGAAGGCACTTACGAATGTTTTTCTTCTTAGCGCCTTCGTAGCGGCTACGTTGGTATTCAGGTAGCTACACTAAGAAGAAAAACCTTCGTAAGTTTGGTCCGTCATCTATGATGTTGTTGTTGATTTAGGGGCGACGACGATCGTGGGATCGGATGCGCCCCGGTGTACCCGTTAAGGGTGAATCGCGAAGCCAGGAAAGGTGAAACGCCAAACCAAATCGCGAAATGAATGACGCCAATCACTAGAAACTAATATGCCATACGGCAAATAAAAGCACAGACGGGCAGATGATTGGGGAGTCCCAGCTGGAGTCCCTCAGGGTGACAAGCACCGGCCCCGCTCCACACAGAGAACACCAGGTAGCAAAACCAAAACTCGGCCCCAACCAAAACGCAAAATTCATCCAGTGTTCTCCGGCAGAGCAGAAGACAGCCGCCCACCACGACTGAGGGCACACCAGAAGCCCACCAACCCCCGGCACCTCTCGGCCAAGCCGGACCCCAAACACCGTCACCCCGCCGGGAGAACCAGCCAGAACACGTCAAAAATAAAAACTCTATCAACAATCAAGTGACTCAAGGCGATATGTGCGCCAGGCGTCGTACAAACGGACCGTTAAAAAGAGATGCCAAACGGCAGTAGCAAAGCCAAAACGCGAAAACAGGACGTGATCAGGCGGCTCCCAGGCGGAGGAGGTGTCCAGACGTTCGCATGGTTTCAAGGTTGAACCAGGACCGTCCGTCATCAAAGTGTGCTGTCGACCTCTCGTAGCTTTACGTAAACTGGATATAACTCAATTTTTCTGTACTACATAACACTGGGATCGATTTTAAGATTTTGGAACATAAACAAAAGATTATAGTTGGTGAATCTCGTGAAGAGGAGTCTTTCGTGTTAGTTATATATGCATTCTCTGCTCGAAAATTGAAGTAAATATGTCTTTTATGATATTAGAATTAGTTTTATAATAGCAAGATATTATACCAGTAGTTATTAAGTAAATAAGCACTGGTGAGCATGAATTATAAGAGAAGGTGATGAGCCCTGCTTGATGGGATCATTTACTATCACCAAATGCCCCTGTTCACCAAGTAGTAAGGGTGTACCTTAGTTATACATACCCATTCAAATTTATTTAGTTTGGTTTTATTTTGAAATTAAATCTGGGTGAGACATAAAATAAAAATATGCTGCACAAATGATGTTAGGTAAGGAGAAGGGTAAAAATGTCACAAACTTTATTCATGGATTACTTAAAGCTATAATTATGACTATATGAACTATTAAAAATAGAGAGGGAAGTAGGTGTCCAAGACCTCTTCCTGTTGCACAACTTGGGTGTGTAACAAGTAATTATCAAAAGAAGGCACCATGCCGGGAAGGCTATGTAGCAGTAAGGCAGTGAGGTGAGGCAGCTACTTATTTGAGGAATGCTTATTTTATTTACCCTATAGGCTGAGGCAGCTTATTTTATTTGAGGAATACTCAGCTGATTCCTCTACATTTAGCATTGAACAAATTTGTGTCCAAGACCTCTTCCTGTTGCACAATTTGGCTGTGTGTAACCAAACTTGAAGTGCTCTACAAATCAAGGGACCCAGAATGTGGAATGACATCCTCCAATCATGTCAAAGGCTGTACCGCTCTCAACCAGTTTAAGAGTAAAAACAAGTACTACCTAATTAACTCCATGTAACCAACCTTACCCCCTAAATGTCAACCCATGTCTTGCTATTTTTTAAACAATGCTGTTTGTTCACCAACGTGTACAATTGCTGATTTCTGCTATGTTAACCCCCCCCCCCTTTTATTTTTTATTCCTTCTTTGAACACAATTTATACCTAATCCTGATTACTATTAAATTTTAATCAAAATGTTTTCCCCCACACCTTGCCAGAACTGCTATGAGTATTAGTGGCTTTTGGTATTGTATGTACTGTCTCTGTCTATAAATCCAATATTATGTTTGTAAATCAACTATGTATATACTTTTCCTGAATAAAATATATTTACTATTATTTATTTATTAATCAGTAACTAAGTAAGTATTAAAAGAAGGCACCAAGCTGGGAAGGCTATGTAGCACCATTGTGTGTAACAATAAACCAATTTTTTTTTAACAAATAATGCACCTGTATGGTAAAACAAATCCTGTCAGCTGTAAAAAATATTGATGCAGTTATTTAAATAAAAAATATAATGAAAGAAATATTACTGGTTTATTTTTATCCTATCTCTTTGTACTGTACAGTATATCCAAGGAAGTGAAAAATTGAGACATAATGCACAATTTTTTATTAATGAATTATTACCTTGAGGTTGCCTTGAGGTGCTTCCGGGGCTTAGCGTCCCCGCGGCCCGGTCGTCGACCAGGCCTCCAGGTTGCCGGACTGATC